TCTCAAAAGCTGGGCTCCCCAGAGACCACGAGGGCCGATCTCAGAAATCGAAGAGGCACCTACTTTTCCAGCCTTGTCAGCACCCGTCACACGCACACTCAGCTTTGCAGAAATTATGGGCATTCTGTCGAAGACTTCTGGGGAAGTAGAAAACACATGAATCTTACTGTTCAATCACCCACTTCCCACACGCAACAATAGCTCATGGGTACCACATATAACTTTGCCAAAGTTCTCTGCCAAAGTTGAGCACGTGAAGCTTGCAGCTCCCACTACATCGCTCTGACCAAGAAGGGTAAAAGAATAGCAAAGAAACAGCACTAACAAAGTTTAGACCCATAAATTTTGAAGGTCTAGCTACCATATTATTACCCACAAGGGTAAAAGAACAGTACTATTGCTGGATAATTGGAAAGTCCCTGTGTGTCAACCTCTGTGCTTCGTGGCAAGGTAGACTAGCAAACATGCCCAACCTTTACTCACATTCGAGAAAACACTCCCAATAAGATTGCTTGCTCCAAAATCGAAGAGGCACCGTCCTCCGAATCTCGAGAGCCAGACTCCCAACATGACTACTTTCTTAAAAATCGAAGAGAGGGTAAAGGAACAGTACCATTGCTGGATAATTGGAAAGTCCCTGTGTGTCAACCTCTGTGCTTCGTGGCAAGGTAGACTAGCAAACATGCCCAACCTTTACTCACATTCGAGAAAACACTTCCAACAAGATTGCTTGCTCCAAAATCGAAGAGGCACCGCCCTCCGAATCTCGAGAGCCAGACTCCCAACGTGATTACTTTCTCAAAAATCGAAGAGACACTGCTCCCCGAATCCTCGAGAGCCAGACCCCCAGCATGATTGCTTTCTCAAAAATCGATGAGGCATCGTTCTCCGAATCAATCGAAGAGGCGCTCGCTTTCTCAAAAGCTGGGCTGCTCAGAGACCACGAGGGCCGATCTCAGAAATCGAAGAGGCACCTACTTTTCTAGCCTTGTCAGCACCTGTCACACGCACACTCAGCTTTGCAGAAATTATGGGCATTCTGTCGAAGACTTCTGGTGAAGTAGAAAGCACATGAATCTTACTGTTCAATCACCCACTTCCCACACGCAACAATAGCTCATGGGTACCACAGATAACTTTGCCAAAGTTCTCTGCCAAAGTTGAGCACGTGAAGCTTGCAGCTCCCACTACATCGCTCTGACCAAGAAAGGTAAAAGAATAGCAAAGAAACAGCACTAACAAAGTTTTAGACACATAAATTTTGAAGGTCTAGCTACCATATTATTACCCACAAGGGTAAAGGAACAGTACCACTGCTGGATAATTGGAAAGTCCCTGTGTGTCAACCTCTGTGCTTCGTGGCAAGGTAGACTTGCAAACATGCCCAACCTTTACTCACTTTCGAGAAAACACTCCCAACAAGATTGCTTGCTCCAAAATCGAAGAGGCACCGTCCTCCGAATCTCGAGAGCCAGACTCCCAACATGACTACTTTCTCAAAAGCGAAGAGAGGGTAAAGGAACAGTACCATTGCTGGATAATTGGAAAGTCCTCTGTGTGTCAACCTTTGTGCTTCGTGGCAAGGTAGACTAGCAAACATGCCCAACCTTTACTCACATTCGAGACAACACTCCCAACAGGATTGCTTGCTCCAAAATCGAAGAGGCACCGCCCTCCGAATCTCGAGAGCCAGACTCCCAACATGATTACTTCCTCAAAAATCGAAGAGACACTGCTCTACGAATCTCGAGAGCCAGACCCCCAGCATGATTGCTTTCTCAAAAATCGAAAAGGCATCGTTCTCCGAATCTCGAGAGCCAGATACCACAGACCACTTTTTCAAAGTGCTCTGACAGAGTTAAAACATGTGAAACTGGCAGCTCCCACTACCGTGCTATGACCAAGCAGGGTAAAGGAATAGCATTACTACTTGTTGTTAGGGAGACTCCTATATATATGTCGACCTCCATCCCCAACGGACAGGCAGACCTGCAAAAATGCTCAACCCTTTCATCATATCTGAGAGGGCACTCCCAACGAAGCCTTTCGAAATATTCAGCTTTCTTTCCCCCCGATAATACCTCTGCAAACAAGCTATACTAGAGCAAGAATATCTCATATCATCAGGGTTAAAAGCAAGAGTATCCCATATCATGCTTTTTCCCTGTCTTTTCCTTTGGCCTTGTTTTTTACCTGCAAGACAAGGAGAAAGAGAGCAATCAGTCAGCACTTGGAATCAAGCTTCCAGCCAGGAACTGACTGCCTGGAACCCCTTACCTGATTACTTACCTGGCATTGCTCTCGAGTACTCATCTTCAACATCTTATGTTTCCAGGGAAGATTCCGCATCTGCTTGAGGAACAGATAGGGCAAGTGCGAAGGATACAAGGAAGCATGTGGAGACAAGCGTAACAGCACACGTGCCGATACACCCATTACTCTGTCAAAAGCAAAAGTATCCCATATCAGCAGGGTGGAACGTACTCTAGATTTGATGGACTTGTTTTGACCCTCAAATTCTTCAGTCGGCCTTATACTCTGGAGGAAACCAGAAAACCCTCCAGCTCAGTTCAAGAATAAGCCTGTGGAAAGTTACTTCTTCAAAAGCAAAAGTATCTCATATCATCTCTTCTCATTTTTCTTCTCTTTATCCTTCATGCTGCTGCAAGATGGGGAGAAGGTGAACAATCAGTCGGAGCTCTGATTGCTTACCTTGTCTGTCACCTCTTTCAGCAGACCCCCTAGCTCGGCGACTTGGGGGACTCCTACTACATGGTTTGTATCGCGCTTGACCAAGCCTGAGACTACAAGTAAGCTGAAGTGAAATTGATACATTACCTTGTGCATCTCCACCAGTTAAAGATACCACCCCTGGATGGAGGAAGAGTACTTCCAGAGAAGATGCCACATCTACCTATGAGACAGATAAGGCAAGTCAAGACGACACCACACTCCGATACTTAGAAGTTTCGTGATTACGAGATCATTCTCCCACAATATTTCCTAATGTCATTTGTACTAAATCATTCACTTGTACTCACTAAAGGAGAGCTTGAACCTATGTACTTGTGTAAACCCTTCACAATTAATGAGAACTCTTCTATTCCGTGGACGTAGCCAATCTGGGTGAACCACGTACATCTTGTGTTTGCTTTCCTATCTCTATCCATTTATATACTTATCCACACTAATGACCGGAGCAATCTAGCGAAGATCACAAAAAGCGACCGTTTTCGCTACCTAGGATCTATCTTGCAAGAGAACGGAGAATTAGATGGAGATCTCAACCATAGAATACGAGCTGGATGGATGAAGTGTAAGAGTGCATCCGGCGTGTTTGTGTGACCGTCGTAGGCCACTGAAGCTCAAGGGAAAATTTTATAGGACGGCAATAAGGCCAGCGATGTTGTATGGCACAGAATGTTGGGCGGTGAAGCATCAACACGTACACAAAATGGGTGTAGCGGAGATGAGGATGCTTCGTGGGATGTGTGGGCACACGAGAAATGATAAGATTGGGAATGAGGATATCCGAGGTAAAGTAGGAGTAGCCGAAATTGTAGGAAAGATGAGAGAAAATCGGCTCCGATGATTTGGACATGTGCAAAGAAGGCCGACTGACGCTCCGGTTCGAAGATGTGACTACGGGACAGAGGTTCAGGGCCAAAGGGGTAGAGGAAGACCTAGGAAAACTTTGGAAGAGACTCTAAGAAAAGACTTAGAGTACTTGGATCTAACGGAGGACATGACACAAAACCGAGCGCAATGGCGTTCTAGGATTCATATAGCCGACCCCACTTAGTGGGAAAAGGCTTTGTTGTTGTTGTTGTTGTAGTAGTAGTAACACAAGTAGAGTCAACAAAGTTAGTGCTTGAAATCCCAGGATCAGTCCAAATTTTTTATATATATATTTTTTTCAATTATCAACTCTGCAATTCATAATCTGGGCACCATAGAATGCCCTTCCCTGATTAAAATTAAAAAAAAAAGAAAAAAAAGAAAAGAATGCCCTTCTAATTTTTTGATTCCTTGGGTTGCCAGTTAGGTCATCTCTAACTAAAAGGTAAATATAGTCCTTTTTCAGAATTATAGTCCTGCAAAAAATTATTTTTAATGAACGGTGTCAAGTCATACTCATATATTATCTACAACCGAATAGGCTAAACATAGCATCTTCAATAATTTATTAGTTTCAAGTTTATACTTTAAATTTATTAGTTAATTTAGTTAAACTACCGTTAGTGTTTTCAAATCTAATTGTTGAGTTTGAATCAATTATTACAATTGAGGAGTTGTCCCCAAAGAAAGGGCTAAGAGGGGATTACATTTGGCTAACCTGGTGCCCTTTTGACCAATTATAGTCTGGTGGGCTCCATAAAATCACGTTATTTTTAGCTTTTGGATCTTTAACCCTCTTCATTGGAGATGACCTTAGCTACTCTAATTTTGATGTGGAGGGCATAACTAGATTTGGATAATTATATGTTAAATGGGCCTTTAGATTTGTTTCTGTTTAGGTTTGTTTGGGCTTTTGGGCTAAGCCCTCAACTAACAAAATTATTATTTTTTTAACAAATAATATTATTTATACTAAATAAGAAGGATGTGTATTTAACTTCACAATAAACCGCTAGTAATATAACTCAAATTTATCTTTTAATGAGAATCAAATCTAAAACTTCTACCTTAACCCTAAGTCACCTCAATTAACGGAAACTACTAAAAAAGAAAGAAAAATGTGGATAAAAATTGACCAAGGAAATTACTTTTGACTCAGGTCGTCCTCTGCTTCCTAAAATATCAGGGTGTCGGTGCTGAAGTCTATACGACGTCGTTTAGCCTATATATGTTGCGAGTTCTTTGGACAAAAAAAAAAACTGCAAAACTGCTTTTACCAAATATGGAAAATCCAATTTTCTGATGGGAGATAAATAGAAAATCGTTGAATTCGGTCTGATTTGGGAAGTGCGCGAAGACGACTCTGGTTTGTGCAAACAACAATGGCGAACTTCACCATTTCCCTCTGCAATTTCCCCTTCATTTTCCTCCTCTCCTCCTCCTACTTCCTAACCCTAACCCTAGCTGCGGAACCCATTTCTTCTTCCGAGCCCAAACCCCTAAACAACAGCAGCGGCAACCCCAACCCCAACTTCGATTCCGAAATTTTCCTCCTTGGCGACGCCGCGCTAGCAGGCGGTGGATCTTATGTCAACATTACGCGGCCGTCGGTCTCAAGCTCCGGTCTTCTCCTCCGCAGAAAACCCTTTAAATTTATCTACGGGAATCTCAGCAGCCCGGCGTCGTTTTCCACCGAGTTCGCATTCTCGATGACGCCTGGCGGCGGTGACGGCCTCTTGCTCGTCTTTGCTCCTGGAGATTTGGGGTCCAGATTGTCTGGTAAGGGCCCGTTTGGAATTAACGGTGAGGATCGGTTTCTGGGTATTGAATTTGATACTGAAATGAATGGAGATATGAATGATTTGAATGCTAATCACATAGGGGTAGATGTTGGTAGCTTTGTATCTCTAGCTGTTGGTAATGTTTCTGAATTGAATTTGGTGCTAAATAGTGGAGAAAAGTTGAAATGTTGGATTGATTATGATGCTAGTTCGAAACGATTGGAGATTAGGCTAGGCAAGGTGGATGAATCGAGGCCTTATAATCCGATTACAGCGTATGGGATAGATTTGTCGGGAATGTGGAGAGATGAGGATGTGTACGTAGGTATTAGCTCGTCAAATTCGAATGGCAATTCGTCGCAGATTAGCAGTGTGTATTCATGGAATTTTAGGCTTAGAAATGTTCCCAAGTCCATGCATTCTCTGCCGGTGAATCCGAGGGTGTATTTGGATGGTCACGGTAAGAGTTTGAGCATGGATAAACGAGGGGTTTGCCCTTTGACAGTTCTTGCTGGGATGATCTTCGTGACTGGGTGTGGAGCACTGGTGGCATTTGTGGTGCTGTTTTTGTCGGCTATTATCATCAGTAGGCACACGGAGTTCCCTGCTGAGTTGCCTGCAAAGCCTGTGGATTTTAGGTATGAGAAGATCGATGTAGTTGTAGAGAAAGATGCCAATGGTGTTAAGAAGTAGAGCGTAAGGTCTGTAAGGTCTTTAAGGGCGTGGCTTTATTTTTTTTTTCTGTGAATGTATGTTGCAAATCTTGTTTGTGATCTCTAACCCGAAAATGTGATGAATTCTGTTGTTCTGGTGTACCTTGCTGTGTTTCCTGCAAGGGCTGTGGATCTCAAGTATGAGAAGATCAATGTAGTCGTAGAGAAAGATGCTGATGGTGTTAAGAAGTAGAGCATAAAGCATTAAAAGGTGTGACCTTTTTTTCGCTGTGAATCTATGTCGGAAATGTTGATTGGAATTTCTAGCCTGAACAAACGTGATGAATGCTGTTGTTCTGGTGTGAATTCTGATAGCAAATTGTAATGCAATTAGGTCAGATGATCACATATGTTGTGTATATATGTGGCTCTGTTTTGTTCATTCACCATATGTAGCACGATTTTGTGAAATATAGCACGTACGTAAAGTTTCATATTTCCATTACCAGTTTGAAAGTATATACTGTTGACAAATTTGAATGACATGAGCTTTGCTCCACCCAAGGTTCAATATCGAAGAGATTGTCGATTATTGTCCGTCGATGTCTCTCGTTGTTGGTGAAGACATTGGAGTATTTGGATTATTGAACCTTGGGGAAGAAGTTGTTATGAGTCTCTTATATGTTAAATTGGATTGGGAAGTTGAGTTATCTCTAAACAATGTAGTTAATTAGAGATTTTGAAGGAAGACTTATGAGCTTAATGGGCATCATCAACCCAAAAGAAACATCTACGCTTCTTTTGAAATGGCTAAAAGAGTTTTTAGGCGGTCAATAAGTTTCTAGTAGTGTTTTTTTACACAATTTTTAGCAATGCCCCTTGAACACTAAACTTTGTTCAGCTCTGCTCTCCGAACTTTTAATTTGGTTTTAACCCCCTACATCTTTATGTTTGTCTTAAATCTTTCGCAACCATCCCCCGACATCCAATGTCGACAACCTCACTCAACTTTTCGCAAACAAGGGTTACACACAAGAAGAAATGGTTACTCTTTCTGGTACGTTGAATATTTTTCTTGTGAAAATTATACCATTAAGCAACAAACAAAGCTGCTTGTATATCAGACAATTTGTTTCTACAGGAGCCCACTCCATTGGCCGCTCTCAATGCACTTCTTTCAGCAACAGGTTGTACAATTTTAACGCAACAACAAATCAGGACCCCAGTTTAGATCCGTCATACGCTGCTCAGTTGAAGGCTTGTACTAGGAGAATTCAAACTCGGGTGCAAGATATTTGGCATTGGCACACTAACATTGCCGACCGGCCTAAATGTTTACATGTTGCAATCATTTTAAGGTATAGATAATTTTAAAGACACTAACCCATTGTGAGACTTAGCATATTCCCTCACTTCTTTAGTGTAGATAATATCGTTTGTTAAAGACACTAACTTATCAAGCCAAGTTTTAGTGACCAATTGACATGACAACTTATTATTTTTATAAAGGCTTTTTAGCCAAAATGATCCATCGGATTGGCATAACTACTCACTTCAGTCCTAAGATTTAGAATAAAAAGAAGTGGTCTCTAAAATTATCCATCGTCTATTATTTTGGTTCTTCAGTGAAAGATCTTTGTTAAATTGAAAAAACCACCACTTCAAGTGGTGATATTGATTTGACAAAAATACCCTCAAATTAACATAAAATTTTCACAAAATGACCATAATAATTTACGATAGAGATAATGATAACTTAATTTTAGTAACCATAAGTTCATTAAAAAACAATAACTTATCATAAAAATAGCCAGAAATTTTCCTATACAACATCCTTTTCGAACTCTAATTCTCAACCTACGTAACTATCATGGCGTCTACATTCACTGATTCGTAATATTAAGAGTTTTATGAGTCAATTGTAAAACTTGTATGACGTAATTATTTTTTAAAGAGAGTATGACGTATTTATTGAGAAGCAAATATAATTGACCGATGAACTTGCTAGAATTGGACAAGTTCCACTTGTATTTAGTTAGCTAATCATCCTGCAAATTCTAACAAGAAAGCAAATTGAATTGAACTAATCAAATTTGATTCCATTTCTACCAACATCGTAAGTTCATTAGTAACTACATCTCTTCGAGTCAGAACAAAAGCCATTTCAAGTACCCTCCCTATGAACAAAATTACATGAACTTGACCGCCTACTAGTAAACAATAGTTCACTTTTCTGGCATTTCTCACACATCGTTATCCGCAATACGGCTAAACAACGGGAGATTTGTTCATTTCTTCACCGCGGCTTGCTGCTTCATCAACATCCTTTTGCACTTCCAGTCACCAATGTGCGCAGCGGCGTGGCAATGTGATAGTTTCCACAACATGCATGGAGCGGCAGAATCGCAAACATAGCAGTAGCACTACATACAATCAGTGAATTCACTTTTGAGATGCCAAGTTAAACAATATAGAGAGGGAATCGGGGATACATTCACAAGATGCAAATATTTGAAGTTGTAAAACTCTGTTACCAGCTCACAGTAGCTCTCATGGGGTGTCGTCTCGAAAGGAAATTTCAGGCAGAGGTGTCTTGAATGTGGATAGTCTCTACAAGCAACCTACGCAGCATCAATTCAAATCCACACGAGGCATCAGACATTCACCAAATTAGCTCATAAATTTACAAAAATTGGAATATGAACAGATAAGCAGAAAAGTTGGAAACTTTCCTATAAATTTTAAATCTTTTGAGGTCAAACACCTGAAGGTTCATAGGCAAAATGTCACAATGGGGTTACAATTTCTAATTCATTTGTTCACCTGCATTTTCCCAGCAACCAAACATGACAAAGAAAGAAAATTGATTAAAAATTTCCTTATGCAAAACCCTACAAGGGTCATATGTAAAATGGGGTTATGATTTCAAATTCAATTCTTCACCTGCATTTTCCCAGCAACCAAACAGAAGAAAGAAAATTAACACAAAAAATCAAAAGGGTCACTGGTAAAAATCAAAACCTGTCCTTTCTCAGCAACAATAGTGATATCGGGAGAACCAGCGTGACCACCACCACCATTATCCAACACGGACAACTTGGATTGCACCGGCTCAAAAGGGTCGAAATCCAAGATGAAGCAGTCCTCGACGTCCTCAAAGCGTTTGACATCGACCTTGTTTTTGACACAGACAATGTGCCTGATTGGACTCCCGTCCTCGTCCTCCGCGGAAGAAGACGACGGGCCATTCTGGGGAGTCTTCTCGGTTGTCACTCCCTTTTTCTCGCGCGAAGGCGTCCTCGACGACAGATTAATCGCTTTGACATCGATTCCGATTTCGCTCATTTTCTCTCACCCAGGATTTTGAATTTTTTGAATCTCTTTTCGTCTAGTGATTCGGATAAACAGTCACGTTTAGGCTCTCGACACAATCACCACTTCGTTTAAAATGGAAAGGAGGACCGGCATCTATCGAACAGTGGTAGTGTCGTACGAGATTTCAGACGACAACTTGAACCTCAAACCATCCAAATTTTTAGTGGAAAGCACGTAAAGACAAACACTGATGCCCTATTTTATTTTATTCTTTACGTTAAGCAACACTCATACTGGGTTTCTGAGTACGATACCTCTTTTCTTTCTGCTGTCCAATGTTTTGCAACTTCTGAGAATCCATGATTTTTGATCTGCAACTTTCAGTCAAAAAGAGAGTGGTTTTAAGAAAGAAAAGCCCACAATTATTCTTGCTTTGGGAGTTGTGACCAACTTAGAGCATCGTTCTATATCTGGTTGGAAAAGTGATGGATATAGCCTATTTTGGAGCTTCGAGAAATTTTTGAGACTTTATAAAATGGGGTGTGATATCCACACATCATTTTTTACTTCTCACACATCCCTCTAATTTTTGATCGTCGGATCGGATGAATTGAAGAACATCAACGAACAGAAATTAACAAAGGGTGTGTGAGAAGTAAAATGGGATGTGTGGATAGCACATCCCTATAAAATAATCTCTCCCAATAAGGGGCTATATCTTTCGGGCTCTATATGGGGCTATAAATATTTATGGAGAAATTAGGTTTTCATCTTTATTTTTTCTACTTCATTGATTAAAACCTTGTTCTTTTTTAAATTTTGATCAAGATCCTTCGGTTTTAATAAGCACCATTAATTATTCAAAAATAAAATATTTACATGTCAAGATAATTAAGTTTTATTTTTAAATATATTCATTTAGTGTTAGAAACGTTACATTTGATAAATTATATTTATGGCTAAACTTTTTATCATATATTTCAATTTCTAGTTTGTGCCCATTTTTAATTTGCAATCATTTTTTAAATTGTACCAATCTTTTAAATTTTAATTTGTACCCATATATTAATTTCTTTTTGTCCCTTATTTTTTAAACTTTTATTTGTACTCATAATTTTTTAACCCTTTATTTGTACCCATAATTTAGTTATAACGTACCCTTTTTTTTTTTACGAATGTACCACTTTGTTATATGTAAAATGTATCCCAATTTTTCTTGTAAGTACCATTTTTTATGTAAAATGTACCTATTTTTTAATGCAAAACTTATTTATTTTTTAATCTAAAATGTACCATTGTTTTTTTTAATATAAAATGTACCCATTGTTTTCTATATAAAATGTACCCACATTTTTATGTAAATGTACCAATTTTTTATATATAAAATGTAGCCAAATTTTGTTATATAAATGTACTCATTTTAAAAAAATAAAATAAAATCTCATTTTTTTTATAATCTAGAATGCACCCATAATTATTATTATTTTTTATCAAAACCCCATAAGCAATTTTGAATAATTAAATTGGTAGTGTAAATGAAAGCAAAAAAAAGGGTGGAGTCTTTATTGGTATTATTGCATATCTTTTATTATTATGTCATTTATGTAGCAGGAGATGGACTTCAATCAAAAATCTAAAATGCATAAGGTTTGAGTTTATAACAGTTAGTGTCACATCCCGGCTCGAGCTTGACTCCGTCGTAGCACAATATTGTCCACTTTGGGC